TCTAAAAAAAAGTCCTTTTATTAAATTTAAAAGTTATTACAATTTACGTGCCATCCTAGGGATAAAACCGCTAAGGACAAAATTTATTCGTTTCAAAATATTTCCTAGATTCTGGTCCTTTTCAATCCTATCCCTTTCCAGGAGCCTCGGTGCCTGTGGCTATTTCCGAGCACGTGCCCATGGTTTTATGGGTAAATACGAGCAACAGCTTCCAGGGAGTTGAAGTGGAGATTATGAATGCCCTGGGCAAGGCGTTGAACTTCAAACCCGCTTACTACAGACCCAACCAAAGTGAAAACATGGACTGGGAGCTGGAGAACGGCTATGGAAATGGTAATCCCGATGGATATGGCCAGAACGAAAGCCGCATTGATTCAATGCTTATTGAAGAGGTGGTAAGTGGGGATTAAAACAAACCCATATAAAACGTGATTATGGTACATATGCTATTAGCGACTTGTTGACTTATTAACATTTTAATCTGCACAGGCTGCTCACAGTGCTCGCTTTGCCATTGGGGATTTGCATCAGTTCCTGGTGTATCTGCAACTGGTGGAGCTCAGTTCCCCGCACAATTTCGAGTGCCTGACCTTTCTCACACCTGAATCCTCGACAGACAACTCCTGGCAGACCTTCATCCTGCCCTTCAGCGGTGGCATGTGGGCGGGGGTTCTACTCTCCCTGTTTGTGGTGGGCACTGTGTTCTATGCCATTAGTTTCCTAAACGCCATCATCAACAGCAATGTGTCCTCGGGGTTCTTTCGTTGCCTTCGACGGAACCGTGGAGTTCCCATGGATCCGAAGATATATCGCCGAGTTAGCTTTCGCATCGCCATCAGTCGCTATCGTCCTTCCAAGGAATCCCGGAGACCTCGGGATCTATTCGACGACTACGCCAACTGCATCCTGCTGACTTATAGCATGCTCCTCTATGTGGCCTTACCCCGAATGCCTCGAAATTGGCCTCTGAGAGTTCTGACTGGGTGGTACTGGATCTACTGCATCCTCTTGGTGGCCACCTACAGGGCCAGCTTCACAGCCATTTTGGCCAACCCGTCAGCCAGGTAAGGGATATATTATTTTCACAACTTGATTACAGTCGGTTAATATTTTACAAACATTTGTTTCTTGCAGGGTTACTATAGACACCCTGGAGGACCTTCTGGCCTCCAACATACCACCCTCCGCTGGAGCGACCGAGAACAGACAGTTTTTCCTGGATGCCTCCGATGAGACTGCTCGAAAGGTGGGCGATAATATGGAGGTAATCGCACAAAATGATGATCTGGTAAGAAAATTATAAATATTATAGAAAGGTCCAGAGAGTGATTAATTACCAAAAGAAAAATATAAAAATATTTGTATAACAAAATGTAAAAATCGAATGCTTTGCAAAAGTTAGTTCCCATTAACGCTTTTTAAATTTATTTCCACTATCAAAATGCCATCTTTTCAGCGCAAATCAGATAAGAATAATTGGAGCACCGATAGAACCACGTTCAAATGTCCGATTCATATCAGCTATATAGCCTATTCACACTGAGGTATCCGCTTCAGCGACTTTTTCTTCCATAAGAAACGCACGTGCTAGAAAGAGACTGGTAAGAGTCGCACATTTGCTAATGCCGATCAGCTGTTCGCTTCAGCTAGTCTCTATGTGAACAGGAATCCGCTTAAGAGGCTGTGTGTAGTGGGTATAAGGCTTAACAATTTTCACGTTTTCGCATTTGTGGCAAATGTCCCATTGTCCTCTAAGGCAGCGTTCGTGGAGTTGGCTATTTCGGATACTTTGTCAACGTCCTCGACGATATTGTCGCCGCCCTCGAACTTACTGATTTATAATGACACTGTTTATCAAATTTTTTAGCAATGAACTTTATACCACAAGATGGAAAAACAAAAACCAGTTCTAACTTGTTTCCAACGACAAAATATCTTATCTGTGTGATAAGCGTATTTGGGCGGATTTTTTATTTAACGGTATTAATTCTTCAAGTTGCAAAGTAATCTGGTGTGATATGAAAGGTATTTTGGTGACTTAAAAGCTTAAGGAGAGACTAATTTGTTAAAAAATTTATAGTCGGAAAGAACGTCATGCTAATATATGAAAACAAATATAAATGGTTAAAAAACAACTGTTTTTAATGATATAAATCAATCAAAATCAACTTAACTATTAGAATCATTCATTGTTGCTACTAGATTTTTTAGTATGAATGATGTAATAATATATCATTTATTTTGCAGACCTCTCGCATAGCCAAAGGACATTGCGCCTACTACGACAACGAATTTTATCTCCGCTATCTCCGAGTGGCGGACGATTCTGGATCCGGAGTAGGATCAGCTCTACATATCATGAAGGAATGTGTGGTTTATATGCCCGTAGTTCTGGCGATGGAGAAGAACTCGGCCCTAAAAGATCGGGTTGATAGCTCCATTCAACATCTGGCAGAGGGTGGTGTGTAGACTTGAATCCTTGTATCTATATACGGAAACCCCAATCAATTTTCCTTATCCCACAGGACTGATATCTAAGTGGCTTAGGGACGCCATAGTGCATCTACCAGCAGAGGCTCTGGCCCAACAAGAGGCACTTATGAATATTCAGAAATTCTGGAGTTCCTTTGTAGCCTTGGGTATTGGTTACGTTATCTCTATTCTAACTCTTCTCGCAGAGCGCTGGCATTTCAAGCACATTATCATGAGACATCCAATGTATGATGTCTATAACCCAAGCTTGTATTATAATTTTAAAAGAATTTATCCGGAGCAATAAAACAAAGTTTTATTAAATTGTGGGGCATCGTCTTTATTAATATTACACCTTCTTTTTCTTTCTGCTCATTAAAAAAAATCCAATATTTACTAATGTTACACAGAAGCAAGAAAGTTATTAAGCATCTTAACCTCAACTTTAAAGCTTATCTTTTGTTGTTTTTCATGTAGGGGTTTTGAGTTGTGGCTTAAAGTATGGATTTTATTTTGCACACAACTTAAGAAAAATTCATTTTCCATTGCGCAAAGTAAATATTCTCAAGTACTGCAAGTTGTCATTCCACCACAACATTCCACAAAGTAATGATATATGCACAAACATGCCTAATATTTATAATTGCCGGCAGCAGATGACAAATGTATCTGGTACTCAGGACTGAATGGCAATTGAGAGGCTGAAAAGTCTTTATTGACGCACTAAGAAGCAACAAATGCAGAGTCGAAATGGAGGGGCCTTGGTAAATGCGATCGATGAATATAGTGCCATTTATCACGAGGAGCCAAGTGGCCTCAAGTACCAGTGGCAATGTGGTGAATAAATTCAAGAGCCCGGATTCCTTCAATCACTTTTCGTAAATACTGATTTGCATTGTTTATGAGTTAATGCACATTAGGCATTATTTGTTTATGGCCATATCACAAATCCTGGGAAAGCTGAAATGATAAAAGCCCATAAATAAAACCATTTTTAAGTGCCAGACTAAACTCAAACAGAAAAAGAACAAAAACAATCCTATATAAAAACGAAAAACCCCTCGAGAATAGCGCGAAGATTGGGGGCTCACGGGCACTTCAAAACTTTTAAATGGAAATGGGAATTTAAAGTCAAAATTTCCATGTGATGAGGTAGCCAGAAACCAGACGTGCTAAGCAATAAACAATCCAAAGGTTAATAACAATCATAATAATTGATAAGCTTTTGTTGGTCCATATCCTCAACCGTTTTCAATATTTCTTTGTTTTTCATTTAAAAATACAGAATGTAGAAGGTGAGGCAATCCAAATTTCGTAAAATGTGCCTACTGACAGATACATTTTACGGGTTAAACAAATTATTGTGGTCTGTCTGAACAGAGTTCGAAGAGAGAAAAATCGAAAAATACAATTTCCAATATCTATTTTACATTATTCAGTGGTAAAAATTATAAGTGTGAGCTTACAAGTAATTTTTTAATTAAATAAAATTGATTCTAAGCCTTTTATTTTCTGCGTACACTTTTTATTTATGTACATACTACATAGTATTCTATGTATTTTTTCTATGTATTTCTTCGCTACGTAGCCAACCAAAATAAAGCTAAACAACTTTTTTTAAAATGCCAACTATTTAATTACGGAATCATTTTATTTAGTTTTTCTAGCTGTCCATCTGTGACCGACGATTTTCACTTGGCTTAAAGTTTAAAATGTAATTTATTTATTATACAAATTACACAAATATTTAATAACATTTGTTTACTGATTCTGAAACTATTTTTTCCACCGTGAAATTGTTTTGTTTTGTTTTGCTCTATGATAAATATTTATGGGTGTTTTATTTGTTTTGTTTTAGCTCGAGCTTGTTGTTTACATTCCCATTTCATATAATTTAATTAGTTTTGCTTCAATTTGTTGTACATTTTGTTGGTTCTCGCCGTGACGGACTTTTTCCTATTTTGTGTATATGCAGGTCCCACATGGATTTAAATTCAGCTGGATTCCCTCAGTCAAAAAAATACTTGATAGTTGCACTGAAAATACTTAGCAAATATCAAACGCTCATTTGAAATTAAAAATTTTTGGGCTTAAAGGAAGCCGATATCGATTAATTAAATTAAAAAATCAATTTTAGTCAAAAATACCGAAAAATACTTAAAAGTATGAAACACCCAACATAGACCCCCTTCTTTTACCCAACTTGGTTAAGCCAATAACCACATAACTCCACCCTAGTGTACGCAGGCTTTTTTATATTCGTGTCAGGCTGGGTCGTGCCGAAAAAACACATTCCTATTATAGTTATACGTATATAAATACAGGTATACGATAATAAATAAAATAATAAATATACCGAAAAATATCCAACAGATATCCGAAGACTTCACTTTTGACCACCCCTCTGTTCACTTTCCAAAACCTAAAAAATCAAACCTAGTGTAAACAGGCCTTATTTGAAATTGAGATAATATGACATATATGAACCTAAAAAAAAATACCAAAAGCTCATACAAGAAATTTGCCTGTGCAAGTAGGCCTTTAAAAACTAGCACGTGCCTCATTTTTTCGTTTTGATTCATTCTTGACTCGGTCGGAACGCTAACAAAACGCTCGGAAAGAATAAAAAAGATTTTAAAAATCGTCCTTTAAAAAAAAAAAGTTAAAATGGAGGAAAAAAAATACGCGGTTGGGCCAGTCAATTACGAAAACTATGTTACTTGCCCGTATAACAGCGCGCATCGTATAATGCCAACCCGTTTAGCTAAACATTTGATTAGCTGCGGCGGGGATCGTAGCCTCCATCGTTGCCCTTTTAACAGCACGCACTTGCTATCGGCAGCGGCCATGAAGGTGAGTAGTCCTCAACTAAATTCAACGCGGTGGCAACACATAGTATTCCCGATTTTCAGGATCATGTCATCGAGTGCCCCGACCGCTGTTCCTTGGAGCGCTACAAGATGCCGGACACCTTGCCGCCGGCGGAGCCCCAAGCCAACAAATTTTTGGTCGAGACTGAGGAGGACTGGGACACCGAGCCTCAGGTCGAGGCCTACAATCCCAGGAAGTACTGCGGGGATAATCATATAATACTAAATCCCCAGGGAAATCCGCCGGCCGCTCGTCGCGAATTTCGCGAGCGCGAACGCAAACGCTTCCTGGAGAGCAACAAGTTTTAGATATCAAGTTCTTCAACAATTAAAACCATTTAACAAATAAAGTTGAGAATCTCCAGACTGGTTTCGATTTTCACTCCAGCAAGTATAATGTGTTTTTTATTTTCCTAGAGCAAAAACGATGTTATGGTGATGTCTAAATGCAGTTTTTATGAGTTTTCAAAGTTTATCGCCTACATATTTGGAAAATATGCACACATATTTTAAGTCGAAACATGTAAAAAAAATTGGATGTGAACATCGAATGGGTTTTAATCATATGCAAGAAAATTGAACAATATAAATAAAATAAAACAATTTTATATACAATTTGTTTCTTTTAGTATCTGAAGTTGATTCGACTTCAAAGTCACCAGTCTGTTTGAATTATTTGCTTTGTTTTGGTTTCGCTTTCAGGGGTATACAAAATCTAATTGACGTTTCCTATTTATCCCCTCAACTTACCTCCCCCTCATCAAATTTCTAGCAGCAACAACCACCCACACACCATTCTCACATTCCCGCATACAAATATTGTTTTGTTTTTGTTTCGTAATTAAAATTCAAATATTGTTTATCCAAGAGTCCGCATTTTACAAATTCCTTTTTCGTAACTTGTTTACTTTAATGGAAAATATTCATACATCCAAATTGTTTGTTACATATAGGTATTGAAGTGAATTGAGTTGTGATGGAGACTCACGAAATTATTTGCGAAATGTAACCTTAATAAAAAATTTTTTAGAAATTGGAAAGAGGTCAATGTCGATATCGTGTCCCAATCAGCATCGGGATGACAGTTTACATAGTGACGAAACGCATCGCGAGGAGATCACTATACATAGCCGCAGAATGAATATCCGTTCATCATAGCTCATAATCTCATTGAAATTTATTGGCGGACGTTGAACCTGAAAAATTATATTAATCCAAACAACACTTTTGTTTCTTCAAATTTGTTTATTTTTGTCATCGTTTATTTTGGTTATCTAAAATTATTGGAGAAATAAAATAACAAGAAATAGGACATAATACGAAAAACAATTCTTTCTTTAAATACTTAAAATATACAAATTTTAAAAATGTTTTAGACGGCTGATGCTTAGTGTTTTTGCATTACAATTTAATTATTTTAAAATATATACTTGCATTAAATAATCATGTTTAAAACCGGGCAACTGCTCCTGAACCCTTTCGTTGGACATTTTGAAACTGTTTAAAAAAGTCTTTGTTTATAGTATTTTGTCTATTGCTTAGGCTGACTTGGGCATTTGAAATTATTATTTCAAATACCGGCTGCTGTAAAAATACAATAATGGTTTTATAAAATAACTCAAAGCCACTTATATCCAGGGAGCAGTTGCTTATATGGACACCGACACCATTGCAATATATTTGACATTATTCTGTTTGCTGCAAATGATAAATATTTTAACGATTTAAAAGCGAATACCACATATGCTCCATTTATATAGTACTAATCTAGACGTCTGTATAAGAAGTACTCAGCTAGTGTGTTGTAGGCGTATATAAAACTAGACCGTATCGTAATTTCTTCGAGTGTTCGCAAATATGTATCTATAAAAACGTATAGACATGAGTTCATACATGAGTAACTACAAATTCGTACCGAAAACAACTTAATTCCTTGGGCTGCTCCCAGAAATCGCATTTGGGCAAAGAAAGTTCTGATTCCGAACGCATTCAATTTAAGCTCAGATCACCAAACAACTCAATTCCTCTTGGTCAGTTTTCCCGATCTTTTGGGTCAGCAATTCTTAAAATTATATTGTTTCGTTTAGCACTTGATTGCAGTCATTTCGGCTCGGCTCAAAGTCTTTCTTCTTCTAACCCTTCACTCAGCCAACAATACATCTGAGTATTTTTTCATTTATCTTAAAGGCATTTGCACCATAACCGACGTTGTTAGAATATCTATTCGAAACATATTCCATTAATTGAACAATTTGATTTGAGTCTTAGCATTTAAAGAAGCCCTAAGCAGATGATTTTTGAATGTTGAGTTTTGTTTAACTATTATTTGTGTTTGCTTCTTGTTCGTTGAACAGAAGTGAACTTCTCTGCGTTAAAAATCAGTTTGAACATTTAAAAAACATTTCTGCTATGGCATTTGGACAGATCAGAAGTGAGTAACTTTTTCCTTTTGCATATTCAGTTTATTGGATTATTCGATGATTTTCGGTGTTCAAATTATAAACTTCATTCAAATAAGTTTAATAAGCCGAGGGAAAATCATGTCAGCTAATCTATTAATGATATTTTATCAACTCTGATAAGAGGGTATGCCTATTTCGCATCATCAATCGCTAAGAAATATGTTATACATATATATAGTTATGTATATATCGAATTATTTATCACTGTTGCTGGTTTGCATTTTGTGTTTGGTGGCCTACTGTGCGCCCTGGATCGCAGCCTCGCCGGACTCCGCCTCAAAAACATCGTCGGATTCCTGGCCCACGTAATCGATCTCCTCGTCGCCTTCCACCTCATCGTTCTCGTCGTAGTCATCGGGATACTCCCCGAACTCTGAGGATTCACCAAGCGTCCAGGCGTCGTTTTCCACGGAGTTTCGCGGGCTGTAGCTGTTGGCCCCGCTTGTGATGGTCAAATTGTTGGCTGGGCGCAGCACACTGTATGCAGAAAACATATTTATTAATATTTGGTTTAATTTGGAATTAATGATATTTCAATATTTCTATATGCACATATCGAAATGCAAACAATTTGGATGGATGTGTTATTTCTCGATCTCAGGTGAGTTTTGTTCTAGCGAGTTCTAAGAAAGCTTTTAATTGTTGTCTAGGTGTTAGCTTGGTCTACTGACTGGCTTATGTGTGGTTAGCGGGTTTCGTGGTTAGGTTGGTTAACGGGTGGCATGTTTAATGTGATGTCGGTTAGGCTTTAAACAGGACAAACATTTGTACACTTTGCAAAACCATTTGAGAAATATTAACTAAAAATGTATTATTATATGGTTGGTTAAGTAGGTAGTAGGTTGCAGCAATTTACAAAGTAATGAAGATTTTTCGCCAGAGCAAACGGAGGATTTTGTAATTTTGAAAGATTCGGAAATTGGCCATTGTGGTTTAACAATGGATTGTCTCAGTGGTAGTATGAAAATTTATCGTTTGGACTTTAACACGGGTAAATAAAAATCATTTAAAAAGCACAGAAAGTGGTCTCGTCAACTTGTTGCCAAATTTAAACAGCAATTTAAAGTCAGTTAAGTAAATGCAACAAAGAGCATTTACAAGAATATTAGAATTATCGTTAACTGGTCATTATGAGTTTGTCTTCAAACCTACAATATTTTCATAAAACACCATAATCAATGGTTATTCCACATTTCCAATTTCCCTAATGAGCTACTAATGCAGATTATAGTAGTGATTTCGTCAACTGTTTGCGTTTTTGATTATTTTTATTAAATAAACAAAAGCATAATCAGTTTCGGGAATCCCCTCGTATATGAAGTTAGAATTGATGCGGTTAGTTTTCAATCTTCGAGAGCATTTTATTGGTCGAATTCATTGCTCAGCCAAACAAAATCAAATGAAGCCGCACAAGACAAAGTAACTAACGAACTGACGAACAAACAAATTGGTCGAGACAATTGCACAACGGCGAACAACAACGAAATGATTGATATTAATGCATATAATATTCAACGGTAATACTACGACTGTTTCTTAAAGAATTCTGTATTACATGGGCAAATGATAGCGCACAATCGGCTTCGGGTTGGCTGTCACTATTATATGTTTGTTTCTAGTTGTCGTTGCTTTGGAAAATCGTATTTTCTGTGGATACTATGCACGATAGATCCGCTCTCAAAATGATCGTTGTTCGATTCGATTTGGGGATTGTATCTGGCACTAGGATCGGATCCTAGTGATACAATCTGCTGCTGCCGCTGCTGCTTGCACCGTGTTAGATCGTGTGGCATGTTTTCGTAGTGGAAAGTATTTGGTTTTTTAATTTGGTTTCGTGGAAAGATAGTCAACTGAATGTTTAGGTGTAGGTAGATGGCTCAGAAATCGGTAACTAGCACACCATCCGTTGGTCATAACTGTCCACGGCGATAGTGGGAGCGCGATGGCCTAGCGATTGTTATTGCATTGTTTTCGTGGTGTTGATTGGTAGTGGTGGTGTTGTGTGTTGGGGTGTACAGAAATTAAAAGAGAAGAAATCAATTAGCAAAATCATAAGTACAGAATGCTGGATCATTTACGACTTAGTTCCTACTCATCCGATTATACTGAGCGGTGTTACGTTACAAATTCAATACTGAGCTCGTTTTGGGCCACTACTTAAGTTCAGTTATGAGAAATTATAAGATTCAACTAGGAGTGAGTCATGAGAGATAGTTGGATTACAGCTAAAATATTTGTCTATGTCCAGAACGCACCTTTACCTCTAGCCGCGATATTACCCACAACCTTAAGCTAATAAAAGAACCAAAATAAAGGTTACAAATCAAATGCACACAATTAAAAGTATGTTTTAAATAACTATAGAATAGTGTATCGAAAAAAGAGACCTATGCAGTCAAATATCGTTCCTAAAATCTAGACTTAGAGCTAATTAGCTAATACTGTTTATACCACGATATACTATATTAGGCCTAAAAAACACTAGTTTACAGCGAAGAAGTTCAGCTTTAAAGCCGCATTTTCTAGAATAATTTGGGCTGCCTGCCTGTACACACTCTTAGAGTGACAACTCTAAGATTTTTCAAGATATCTTAAGATATTTGCGAAAAACATGTTTTTTAAAGGTTGTATAATTGGATTTTGAGATATACGCTCTTTAATACAAAAATGCCTAAAATACATGTTATTATCGTATATCACAAGAATTTTTCTTTAATATTTTTTTTAGTGCTACCAGCGTGCACAGGGATCTTAAATTAACTTTTAAAATGAGGTTTGAACGCTGAACTCGAAAACTAATGAATTATTGTAAGCTAGTGTGAAGTGTGTTTAACACTGCTATATATGATAAAAAGACTATTTGGCTAAGTACAGATTTAATTGCATTAGTGTATACCTTCTAAATGAATTCTTCAATGGAAAAGATTCTCAATCTGTCAAAAAGTTTAAGAGTTTAGAGTTTAAGAAGTTCAGATTTCAATCTAATTAAACATTTATGTTGTTTCTTGAGGAATACTATTTTAAACGAATTATAAAAATATCTCTAGATCTATAAACACGGGGTTAAACACATTAAAAGTTACCTAAACAGATCTATCTATTAAAAGGGTATGGACAACTAATGACCATGTAATTTACCTCTCGAAGGGCATTTCATCGACCTCATCGTTGATCTGTCGCTGAGCTTCGCTTTGTGCACGTCGCGCTTCTTCCTTCTTGCGGCGATCTTCGGCGGCGGCTTTCATGGGATCATAGGTGGATCGACGCTTCCACATGGCCATTTCAGCCTCCTTTTGTTTGTTAACTGAAAGAAATGCCAATTTATTGCTAGCAAATCTCTTGAAACAAACAAAAAAGATTTCCCACCTGAGGCATCGCGACGCATTGCTGATGAGTTTCGTGAACCCGGATTCCCGCCACCCAGCGAGGTAGTACTGGTGTTCATCGCGGAGGCAGCGCTGCGCACACTCCGGTTACTGGCCCTCGTGCCTTCGCCGCGACTCAAACCCATCGAGGAGGCACTGGGACTTCGTTTCATTTGATCTGCCGGCTTCAGCGTGCTCTTGGCATCGTTTTTGCGCAGAAAATTGTTTGACTGCGCCGACTTGTACTTGGAGATGTCCAGGTATTTGGGTTGCACGCGCTGTTCCCTCGGATTGGAGTTGACACCAGCACTTGCGGTTTGGAGCAGCTGCTTTTTGGCATTGGCCAAGGAACTGGGCACCTGTTGCGCAAGTCGACTGAGGCTTGTTTCCCTGGGCATGGACTGCCGGGTGTTTCGATTGCCAGATCCGGGAGCTACCCTCGGAGCACTCTTGATTCCACGACGCGGCATTTCAGGCGTATTGGGACAGGCCGCCACACCAGCTCCACTTTGTGCCAGACTCAGTTTTCCCGCTGGTGCTGAGGTGGGTTTGGTCGGAGCCTGTGATCCGGCCACCCTTTGTTTGCTCCTTTCGATCCGCATCAGCAGAGCCTTGTTCATGCGCGTGTTGCTCAGCGGCACGGAGCCTTGGCTCTCGTGGTTCTCCTCGGCCTCCTCCTCCTCGTTGCTGGAGTAGTATGCCCCGGTGGTGCCCATTTCATCCTCATCGTTTATATAATACTGCAACTCGTTGTCGTAGTCGCTGTAGGCCTGCTCGAAGTTATTGCTGCTGGCGGACTTCTTCAGCTGCTGCTGGTGAACGGTGCTCAGGGCGTGGGCGTGGCGGGCAGCGGGCGGTGTGTAGAGGTTCTGGAAATTGGGACGCGCCTGACGCACAGGATGCTGTCCCTGCTGCTGCTGGAAGCTACTCGATCGACGCAGCGGCGACAATGGGGCAGCAGCTGGCTCAACCTGCTCCACTTCCTGGCCAGGATCGTACTCGAGGGAGTTCTTGCGGCGACGCAATTGCTTTAGGAGATACTCGCCGCTGGTGAGCAACTGCAGCTGCGCCTCGTTGATGCTGCTGGTCATGAGAGCCCGGTGAAGCGGAGATCGTCTATAGCCACCGCCTGCTCCTGCGCCCATTCCCGATTCCAGGCTGTGCTGCGGACTACTCTGAGCTGGCGATTTAACAGAGCTCCTGCGGGAAAGCGACTGCTGCAGGTTACTAATGGCCGCAGCTGTATGCTCCAAGTAGGCATCCGTTGGTGGACGCGAGCGACTGGCACTGCGCGCACGTCCCAGCGTGTGCAGCGGCGATGGAATCTTGCTGGGACTCTTGGGCGGCTTGTAGCCCGGCTCCACCACCTGCCCACCATTGCCTCCGCCGCCATGGCTGCACAACGCCGGATCGCTGGCGTAGTCACAGTCGCCCAGCAGGCGGTACCGCTCCGCCAGACTACGATTGAGCTTGGCTGCCGCTGCGTACTGGCGCTGCTGTTGGTTGTATAGACTCAGGCTGTCATCCGTCAGGGAATCGCCACCCGTATCCGAGCAGTTGTAGCTCCGGGTCATCAGTTGCTAAAAGTAGAAGATACGATTATGAATTCATTTCAATTAAAATAATCAATGATGGTCAATGGAATGTAAAGCACATCTAATTTCATTTTAAATTTATTTACTTTGTATTAAAAATTGTGAAAACAAAGTTTTACCAATCTTCTCATAAGCCCATAAAAGTGTGCTGTACTTCTGTCATTGCTTGGTCATGGGTTTGAGTCTAAGATAGATGTCTGTTTACTTTGTGTAAATTTTACTGCAAATGTCAAGCTAATGTAAAATGTATTAATTTTGTCTAAAATTGGTAGTAACCAAAAAATAAAGATTATAAAATAGGAAATTCCTAAAAATTAAATTGCAAATTAAATAAATTAACTAAAAAGATGTTTTAGCTTCTATAAAAATGAACGCCCAAGCAAATGGGTATTGCAACATTTGTTTTTGAAATACCCCTATTAAATCAATTCCAAATAAAGACCAAATTAAAAAAAAATAATCCCAACATTGGGAAAGGTTGGTTCTATCAATCATAGAATCATCTTTGAAAACAATAACATTAATTAATAAGAGAATCTCAGATTTGCAGTGCGTCTATAAAAATGATCACTAACTGACTGTGATGAATCATCATATTAGCAATCTAATCTACACTCGTTAGTAGGATGAGGTAAACAACGCTGGCTAAAAATCTACACGCAGTTTGAGCTTTGCAAATATGGTGAGGCAATTGTTAACCTAAGATTAATTAAGAAATTGTATATTTAAAAAATCTCTTCAGTTACTAAAAATAGATGTCTAAATAAATTGAGTTAAAAAACATTATTTTGAATGTGATCCTAATAAAATTTAATGGTGACTCACTAAGACCCAAACTAGCCAGACAAGATTTGAATATTCAAATGGGGTTTTTCCATAAAATCATTTATCAAATACCGTTGGCCAACCGGTTACCATCAGCCAACTTACCTGTGCCTGCGCTTGTGCCTGCTGCTGTTGCTTCCGACGATTGGCGCTCGTGCCACTCACATCCTGCGCCAAGCTCCTGGCTCGCGCGTTCCGTGCCCACTCCTGAATCCAGTCCTGCTTGGTCTGCGCCGTCTGCAGGAGGGCGGCCTCCGAGCTCTGTGTGGGCGTGGTGGGCGTTTCCGGCAACTGGTGCTGCTGATTGGTGCTAGTGGTGAACACATTCAGGCGGTACTCGGCCTTCTGGCGATCGGTGGCCGATCCGGACAGGGCCTGCGTGTGCCTCAGTTTAGCCTCATTGCTCACATACTCGGAGCTGTCGATCTGCGAGGTGGACAAGCTGTGCGAGTGGCGGGTGAGCTTGGGATGGGTGTCCAAGGCCCGCTGTTTGGCCAGCACTCCACTGGTGGTCACACTGGTGAAGCAGCCCATGTCCGCTGCCGGCGACGGAGGAGTGGGTGGCGACAGGGGAACCTGCTGACGCAGCACGCGACTCTTTAGTTGATCCAGATAGGCACCTGCGGAAAAGTAAGCCATACATGTTTATATTATAAGTTATTTATAAAGCAGGTCTTAGCCAAGACTCATCAATAAGTTTTCCCACCTGTGGAGCTTCTCTGGGCTGGCAGTTGTTGTGGCAGCTGCTCCTGCAGTGGCGTCTCATGGTAGTAGTTCACCTCCAGCACATTGCTGCCCCTGTTCGACTTCACTGGCAACTGTTTGGGTCGCTGCTTGGCACCCGCCCCCTTTCCATTCCTATCGATGTTCATGAGATCCTTCTGCTCCTCCGTGTAGTTATCCCCGTCGAGGGTGTAGGTGCCTGCCTCGCTGACTGCATCGTTCTCGGCCAGTGGTTTGCAATCCGCTAGAGGCGGCTGTGGACACATCATCTCCACCTGGCGCAGTGCCAGCTGCATGGCGGTGGAGCGGGGTGTGAACTGATGGGCCGTACGATTGGCCACCAGATTAGAGGTTCCCTTGGTCGCTGCCGGCGGAGGTGGCAGCTTGGATCGACTGGTGGGCCTGGGCGCAGGTGCAGCACTTGGTTCGGGCGCGTTGGCAGAGCTCCTCGGCGACCAACTGTGCCGCTTGGATGCGTCTCTCACCCGCGAGGCACTGCGTTCCCGCACCCGCATCTTCACCTGCACCGGAGGAGCCTGCTCGCTACTGGGCGTGGCCGCTGTGACGGAGGACACATCGTCCGCCATACTGCTGCCCGCATCCAAGCTGCTCCTCTGCGACTGCCGTCCGCTGGTCGAGGTGGCCGTCGTGGTATCCTTGTCCGTCTCCAGCTTGGACATGGAAGCACCGCGCTTGTGGCGACTCTGGATGCGCTCCATCATGTTCTTGTAGCGCGCCGCCTGAGCCGCCGAATCGTTCTCCGAGGCATCGAAATGATCAATGGTGAAGGCCAGCGATGCTTTCGTGGTGGCATTCGACTCGCTCGAGTTCTCCTCCTCATCGGCGGCGGGTTTGTGGTTGGAGTGGCTTCTGCTGTTGCTGTTGCCGGGCGGAGTGCCATGTTGCTGGTTCGCTCTGCTCTGTGCCGCCGCTGCAATGGAACAGAAAAGAAGCGAACAGACACACAATTAAATTAGCATTTATTTACAGTTATTATTACCTATTATTACTTTTATTATTAGCCTTTAAGCGGTGAAAACGAAACTAAGCTGCTGGCGTAAATTAATCTGAACTCAACTGATCGCAACTGAAGTGGCAAGCGGACGAGAAAAGATATGGAAGAGGTGCAACAAAATGTAGGAATGCAGGAGCGGTTCTCAGTTGGTGTGGTAAAATAAAAACTATCTTTAATAAAACCAATTAAGTCATTTACAAAGCCAACATCTTAATATATACAATTCTGTTAACTATAAAATTCTACAAGTATATAATAAAACTTTGACATAACAATTTGCTTAGTTTATTCATTAATTACCATAGATAATTACAAAGTGTCTTAATTTGTGAAAACTATTATCATATGATGATGTTAACCAAATATGGATTAAACCAATTGATTTAAGTAAACAGGGGGAATTGCTCTTTAAAAGAAGTAATTAAAATACTTATAAACTTAACATTCTTTTAAATATAAAAATATTCGGATTATTATGGAAAGTTATACATTTCTTAATAGATTCATAGATAATATGAGAAGATCCAAGCCTGTGAAAAATATGATTATTAACTTGTTAGTCAAATATGGATCGATCCAACTAATTAAAACAAACAACTGCCTAATTTAAGAAACACCTAAAATTCTTTTGTATCATTCTTATTTAAATCTCAAGAATATTAGACAACCGAGTAACATCTGTGATCTGGTTGTTCCAGCCACCAGACAAATAAGGAAACACGTAATCAAGCTGCATCCCGGATGACAATACCGAGATATAGCTTTCCACCAAGTTCGACCTGTTCAAGGGCCCTGAAACGCCCACCTGCAGCCCGTGGAGATCCCTCACCGCTTCCGCAAACAATTTCTATACGTTTCCGCGACCGAAGCAGGGAAAAAAGAAAATCAAACAATTTGCTTTCAGCTCTGCCACGCGAAGTGGCACAAGCACCAGCACAATCGCATACGGTAGAGAGGTGGGAGACCATCTAGGGGGCCGCCTCTCAGAATCGTGATCTATGGATGGGTAGCTTCTACACGTACTCTCTATAAGGCGGTCGGTTGCCCGGCAAGTGAAGGTTAGAGTTCGGTGATTTCGGTCAATTGCAGGTTTTTTCTCTGCCAGTGGATGGGGGTGTTCCACGGGGCAGACCCACATTGCTTTTACGCTCTGCCAAACTTTGCTGGCCGTGGAACTTCCGTTTCGTTAGCCATGAAAATATATTTCAAACACCATATCCACATTTACCATAGATTTCACAGCCTTTTTTAAACAAGTTTTTGGTCACGAACCAAAATATATATTATTTGGCTAACCATTATGCAGATGTGCAATTAAATAAGGAGTCAAGGTGATACTGTTGTTAAACTTTTATAAGTATTGTTTTGCATCTTGTTCATCGCTGCAGAAAATTGCAGTACTTAAGTTAAAGATATATTCATGGCTATCAGAAAAGTTTTCACATTAAAGCTTAAAGATCATTTTGATTGGCACAAATTAACTTGTTACCGTAATTGTACCCCTAACAAGATTCTCAGATATCAACCTCAGTTGTAGCTGCTTCATCGGAATCATAAAGGGAAATGTTGTGCATTGTTCTTTGTTTATATTTCTTCTTAGTTCCGGTATTTATGATTCTTTACTTGACACAGTCAACGTATTAGAAAATGTTGTTTACCAATTTGAGTGCTAAAACTTCTTTTAAAAAACTTTCTTTCTTTAAATGTTCCAATGTGTGTTAAAGAAAATGTAGTTCATCTATTAGAAATATGAATAGTCTAGCTAAGAATGATGGACTACAATTGCATTTATTTGTCATTAAGTCATAAAGCAATTTAATCCACTGTTAATATTTAATAGAGCATAGAAGGTTGCAAACCTCATATTATGCACTAACGGATTTTGAAATTCCTAAGACTTCCAGATCTTAACAGTAAGCAAAGCATTTTTTTAGTTTTCTAACTAAAGATAAGAAAACTGGCCTAAAAGAGTGAAAAAATGCTAAGGAAGTTCCAGTTTGGCTTGAAACTAGAACGACATTACTCGCTTGTTGGATCACAAAATTTGCAATCTAATTTGGCAGGAAATACAGTCCCCTCCATAGAGCGGAGCAATCGCCGATAGACAATAGACCGCAATAGGTAACGACTAACGGTAATTACGCTGCCCACTGTGCATGGCCATAAAATGTCTTCTATCGAGTTATCGTTGGGCACCGTGCCCCTGCCTTTTTCCACCATCAAGTTTTCTATGGGCCAACAATTGAAAACTGTTGGCACAACACACAAATGTCGGGTATTATTGCCATTATTATTACTATTGGCCATTGCCGTAGACCGTATGTCGAGTAGTAGTGCTAGAGCTCGTTTAAAAGTCTTTTGTTTGGTTTTATTTGGCTTTGTTTGGTGGCCGTTGTGCAGTCGCTTTTACTTTTCGCAATAAATAAAACAAAATATATATTACTTTTGCCTTTTTTTTGTCGGTCAGCTAGCTTCTATTGTAGTTGTTTTGGGAAAGTCGAGCAGAGGAAATTGTGACCGCCTGCTGATTTTGGATCATTTGCTTTTCACTCGCCGCAGTTCCGAGGGGTAGCCAAATTTCGGTTAGCAAATGTGCAGTCTACGATAATGGTAATCGAGCGAATGCAAAACGGAAATCGATAACCAAATCTCTCACGCTACCAATTGGTTTCGCTAATTGCATTTTGGGCTTACGTCATCGCCGATCAATCAGACATACTACATTTTTATGTTTTTCGGTGTGGGGTCTTTGGTTCCACTTCGAATTCGTTGCCTTTCGAGGGGGTTGAGTTCTCACATTTAAATAAATGCTATTAACAATTTATTTATATTTTTTTCTGCTCGGCGACACCAGAGAAAGCCATCGGTGATCATCATCATCTGTCATCGGCGAATGAGGTCATCGACTGGCGGCCATTTGTTGCGCCTTGTTATCGGCGATTGTTTGGCTTTTACGGGGTATTTTAATAATATATACTTGAGATATTGTGGTGCTCGAGTTGAAGAAGAAAATTGTTGGGAAGCAGTTCAAAAAGATTTCATATTTTTTATGTTTTGCTAAGGAACAATCATAAGTATTTGGAGTCCATTAGATCATGAACATATTTAATGGACTGACGGGCAGAAAAATGTTTATCAAAGTGGTTGAGTTGGAACCATTTTTAAACTTCTATAAATCATAGATAATATGAGCGTGCCCCAATTTTCTATTTAAAATTTGCTGGCTAATTATACTTTAAGACAAAAATACCAAATTTTTAAAATATTTTAACTTGACAATATATATTAAAGTGCCTACAAATTTAATAACACAACTAATTAAGCATGCCCAAATGGTTATCAGTTTGGGAACAAGGCCAGAACCAAGAGATTTGGTCTGAATCTGTTTGATTCTTGGGTGCTTGCCAAGAATTAATGCCTCAAATTTATATTGGATTGGAATGTGCAAAAATGAGACGTAATGAAAATACACACGTAATAGGAAAATGAATTCTACAAGGAAAGTAGCACGTGACCAGAGTTGAAATGTTTTGAACTACGTTATGTATATGAAACAAAATTTTGAATTTTAAGATGCATATAAGCTATAATTTAATAAAAATTAGAAACCAATGTGAAAGCAACCAAATTCAAAACGAACTACACTTTGAAATAGGTCACTTTAAAAAACCTTCGTTATCCCAATCCCCAAACTCTGCCAAGAAATGATATAATACCTTATTTGCAGAGTGGTTTCACACTTCGACTCTCATTGTCAACGGTACTTGAATAAAAACCTAAATTCCCAGGTCTCCATTCCCCTCGATTACCCCTTGTTCAAGTGCTACGATTTGTTTTTCATAAATCTCCCATTTCGCAATGTTTATCAGCTTTGGTTTCTTTTCGAAACGCTTGCCAAATCTTACACAATTATGACAGTCACCGTCATTATCTCACACATTTTCATTCCTTGCTCGCAACAAAATAAAAAATTCAAAAAGTGAAACAGATTTGCGACTGAGTATCTGGATGTGGAAGTGGATGACTCAGCCAACAGCTGCGGGCGTTGATCGATCGGAGGTTACTGCGATCCGATACAGGCTACTTTTTCTGAACGCCAGGCTGGCCAATATTAACCAGAATCATTTAATTGAAAACAAAGGAATGCAAGCACTCATGTGCGCAAATCGCTTAATGAAAACGTAAACAGAACTCAGACATTCAAACTGTTTTATATTCGTTAAAATATGTTTTTGGGTAGTGTATTTTTATACGAACTGCGAAAGTTGTTTACCTTAAAAGCTTGAAAAGCTGACTTGTTTGGAAATTTGCATTCAAAGCAATAATATTCATAGCACCTTAAGTCTTTTTTGAAGAACGGTCGTGAAATATTTACTACAAGTTTTTTCCCTGTTCAATTTTAATTTTGGATAAAAGCCAAATCCTAATTCACAATTTTCATTCAAAAAGTTCAACACGTGTAACATATGTTCGATTGCAACACTTGAAAACAAACATAACGAAGAATAAGAATATCAAATAAATCAATCGATGTTTGGTATTTGTAAGCATCCAACTAAAGATAAATATAAAGCTTAAAGCAATCCTTGTATTCTCCAATTAAAATTTTTATTTGCTTCTATAATTAGGTATTCCTAATACCCCGTAGTTAAAGTTTCATTATGCAACTCAACGAAGGCAATGTAAAATCAGCATATGTTTCAAGTAAACACTTTTTATTTAATTTCAAAAGTGATTATACCTAATCAGGGTTCAAAAATACTATTTAGTGGGATCGTAAATGAATAGTTTTAATAAAAAATATTTTAAAGATCACAAAAAAATATATTTGAAATCAGTATTTCCGGAATTTCCAAAAGACAACTTGACAACTTCTTAGTTTGGAGTCGTAGGGCCATAAACAAAAAGACAACACAAGCTGATGTCACTGGCTGCTTTCGCGGGCTATTGATCCCGTTCCACTTTCTCGAAACCAGAATCGAGAACTTGCTTTTCAACCCAACTCGGCCCACTGTGCCAATCTGAACAACAACATAACCGAGGTGTGTTTGAGGGTGTGTGTTTCGGTGTGTTTGTGAGTGCCAGGCATGACTATTGCAATAAATATTTGCGCTTAGTTGTGGCCAGAGACTCGCACAAAATAACTTCATTAAAAATTCAAATTAACAGAGAAAAAGCAAAAAGCATAGACAAGCCGCAACCTGGAACAACAAAAGCCGCAGCAACAACACCATGGTTAAATTAGCCATCAATTGTCGCCGGGTTTGCGGTTGCTGCTGTATCGCTTACTTATACAGTCGATATTCTGTAACATAAGCTTTAGACATTTCAAATTAAGTACTATTTTTTACAATACCTAAGCATTACAAAAAAGCGTTTATAAAAAAAATAAATGGGATATTTAACATTAAACTCTTTGTATTTATAAGGTTAATTAAAGTTTAACAGTCCTTAAACAATAATTTAAATTTTGGGTTGAAAAAATTTGAAATAATGTTTACCTTATACATATTCATGGGCTAAGAAAAATGATTTCCATAAAATGCTAAGCAAAAAATTTCTCGGGACTTGACTAAACAACAAAATAATATTTTACATCCGATTACAAATTTAATTATCTGAATTTGAATTATGAACTTCAATCGCTGTAAGTGAAAGCTAATACATATGTACATGTTTTTTGACATTTTTCTTTTAATACAAATTTAGCTAGTCATAAATACTGGTTTGGTTAGGAAAACCCAGATGAATTTACCTTGTCATTATCAACTCATGTATGATTTTTAAAAAAACCCAGAAGGTATGTAAAATGAATTTATAAATTTTATAATACTATTTCTAAAATTCTTTTGAGACATGCGACCTCACTTTTAAATTCGATAAACAAGCATAACTTTTAAAAGATTCGTCTATATAGAGTATACAAGTTGTACTTAAGAGCCTAAACTGTACTTTTCCATATGTCTCACCTTTCTCGGCCGGCGATGGTGGCGGCTTGCCAAGGCAGAACTTGCCGCAGGACTCATCGATGGCAGCACCGAGGCCCACGAAGCCGGGATTCATGGGGTTCCTGAGCTGCACGTGGCGGGGCGAGGGTATGGGCGAGTTGGCCGACATCGTACCATCCGGACTGTCCATGATTTCGGCGATTTTCTTGATGTTCTCCGGCGTTGTGTCGGCCTTTTCGCGACCATCGCTGCTGTTGCCATCTTCGTCGCCATACTGTGTGCGGCTGATGGACAAATTGTCGCGGCCCTTGACTTTGGATGAATCAGCAGCTGCAGGGGCCGCCGAGCCCCCCACAGCTGATTGGGGGGCGGTGACGGCTGCTGTTGTTGCTGCTGCTTCCACTGCGCCAGCTGATGTCGCCGCTGCTGCCGAAGTTGTGGTGTCGTTTGCGTATGATGTCATTTTAAGCCTTGGCTGGTTATAAATTTTGCAACAAATCGGAACTTATTGTTGGTTCAGAAGGTACGCCTATTTTCGCAGCTTTTCTTTGCCTACTTAGCTAATTAATTAGCTAGGCATTTCCACGATTTTCCGGCCTTCGTTGCGTGCTGTCTACTAGGCTTGCTACTACTATGCTTTCCACATCCTGCTGCGTTTTAATGTCGTTTTGTGCGTGAAGTGAATTCCAGTGGGTTGCTTTTTACCTGACAAACGGAGGTGTGAAAAGGGCATTAGCTGCGGTCGAAGTAATAATGGTCAAGTTGCTGATAAGGTTGCTATTTAAAAAAGTCCTATAATTTCTATTCTGTAAATAGATTTTTTATAACTTCCTTAGAATTAGAATTTGGTAGATTGCAAAATAAACGAATAGTTATTAACTTGACAACTCTTCAAAGGTTAAAAGGTTTGTTTTTATTGCTTTTTATGGATTTTTACATCTTTCGGTAAAACTATTACCGGAAACACAACACACTATTAATTTGACCGCAGCTGTAATTTGAAGAACTGAAAACCCCTTTTGGTTTTTCGGTTTAAGGATGCGTGATCACGCCCCAAACGAAAACGGAAACACTGAGACACGTTGAATAGGTAAATGACCAAAGAATTTCCAATTGTGCGACGTGAGTTTTCCGATTGGACACTTGGAAAACCGTTCGGGCATTTCCACATGCGTAAAAATAGCCGAAAGCAGAAAGGCAGATTCTTGGCTGCCTTTTCAAGGTTGCTTTTGTTGTGCTCGAGAACCTAATCGGATATTTTATTTTTACATTGAACACTTTTGGAGGCACACGCACAGACACACGCACACAAAGGCGCAGACTTTTGCGGCCAGCACATACACACTTTCAAGGGCAGGGTCGGTCCAATTGGACTTCTCGCTGGCATTTCCCTTCCGATTTTCACTTGTTCAGCGGCTTTATTTTCCGTTGTTCCTTCTGCATTTGATAATGAACTTTTCTTTATCTTTGTCTTGATTTTCCGACCCGCGACACGCGCTCGTTTTTTCAGACCAACGGTTACTCACGGGCAATTCAGTCAGAATGAGCGTCGCAGGTGTGCGTGAGCTGTTGGCCTGGCCAAAAGTGACGCGAGAGAGGGAGAGAGAGCCAGCGAGCACGCGACAACAATACAATGAAGAGCGCACAGCAGTGTTGCTATTGGTAGCCAAAGTGGCTACAGCTTAATGTAGCCATAAAATAGCTATATTTTTATTAAGAGGTTGGTCGCAATTTGCAAGTCATATTTATTTTTGCACAAGTTTAAAGCAATAAAATAGTAGTTTGATCAATTCAATTTTTAAGGTTTGGAAAAAAATGCCTAAGCCTTCAAATTTTTTAGTTTTTACCTTGAGTTTTATTGTAATTTATAAATTGCCAGCCAAGCTTACTTAACTGGGATAAACTTTAAATACAGTGCTTTAAAATTTTCAATAATTGACTTGATTAAACTGACTTGGAATTTTCCATGATAGAAAATAGTCAGGCTGGCTATTTTCTAGCTTTGTTGAAAAAAGCTTAGCTAGCAGCACTGCAACAAAGTGTTTGCTTTCGAAGAGAGAAAGAAGGAGAGTATGCAAACAGCTGGGAGTTGCCGAGCATTTCAGGGTTGTCGCGTTGCCTCTAAATAGTGAACTTTTCTTTTTAAAAAGCATAATAATTCAATGCCAACACAAAAGTAAATACAGATGGCTATCTTTGTTAAACTAAGCACTCAATTATGTACTAAACAAGGCTATTAATGGAAAATCTTCGAACCAAAGTCAAAACCTCAAAAAGCTGGCAGCCCTCTCTCTATTTATCTCTCTCTTTACTCTTTTTGGCTCTCCGCATTGATTGTTTTGGCCTGGCCAGAAGCTAATTAACCCGTTGAATAACACAGAACAGACCAGAAACAAACAAAAATCAGATAATTCGACGAATGAATCGCTTTCTGCAGATTCACGCTTCACTGGGCACAAATATCCGCAGGCAGTGCACTCGACAGGTGGCCTTCAAATGGCGACGCCAAACGCTATTTTTAAAACGAACACTTGCGATCACTCTCGATTTTCGCGCTAACAGGTGAACTAACTTCAGTTCCCGTTGAAATGGGTAATTCTAATTCACCGAATGAAGGATTTATAAGGCTGGACAATTGTCAAGTGACCGAAACAAAAACAATTGCCGCGCAAATGATAACAAGAGAGAGAGAACATTTTCCTCCCTCTCTCTTCCTGTATTGTATTGGCATTTACTGCCCCACCAAATTTTTTTCTCGCCCCCTTCCAATTGGTGCACTTGTTTCGCGTTCGCTTTTCACAGCTTATTTTTCACTTTTCACCATTTCAACAGTACTATTTTTGGCTCGATGAGCTGTACTTTATATTCACACTATCATTTGATTTTATGGGGGGTTATTTACTTGCTGGGCGAAGCAAAAAAAACAGCGCCTGGAATTGCAAACTTTTTCGTTTGTTGTGCCGTTGTTGTTGCTTGAGAACTCCGGATTTTTAGTATTTATCTACTGAAAGATGAAATAATTGAATACTAAATGTATCGATAAGCGGTATGTTATCGGTGTTTAGACAACTTTTGCTGGGATTTGCAGTATTTATATACCATTTTAATACTTCGTTCTTTTTCGTATAAAAGGTGATTTTAATTTGAAATGTAATTCCATTAAACTATTATATTATCAAAATATTATTAGCATTATCATTAATGAGCAATCTACATTAGTTTCCCAATTTTCTTACTTTTTTTTCAATTAGACTCAGCATAAAAAGTAATTTAACCGTGGACATAGGGCTGCTGAAAAGTAACGTAATTTACATTTTAAATATTTATAATAAAAGTAGGGGACTCAAAGGTTCTAAGAGTTGCAATAAAATAGGTAGAAACGAGAATACAGCAATGATATCAAAAATTCAGAATCTATACAAAACATTCACACTTGGATTCATTCAGTTGATTCTAGAAAATTAAACTAAATCATTTAAAAAAAAAAGGTTCCGCGTTCGGAAAATAAATCCACCAAACTTCTCTATTAATTAGGTCTGAAGTTATCAATAGATTACAAAACATGTTGATAACCAATTGCAGGAATAGGTTACTTTTTGCCCTCCAGCAAAAATAAATAAGTTTTCAAACGAATGAATAGGCATTTTCCAGTACTGTAGTTATAAGTTTTAAAATTGCATTTATTCAGAAATACAATAATAGTTGTATAGGTATGTTAGCTATGCATGTGTATATGGTTGGAGGGCACAAAGCCAATCTTTATCTTTCTGTCTCCCCAGGGAGCTTACAAAACTAATAAAAAAACGAACGAACGCAAACTTTCAGACTGCGATGCTGACTTGGCTGATGGTTAGCATACGTGAATGCGGTAGCGGTTATATATACGTATATATAAATATAGATCTGTTTGCTTATAAATCGGTCCGCCAACTGTTTACAAACTGATAAGTAACTGGGAAAGTAAAGAAAATACGGAATACTCGGGGAATGCATCGATGCGTGGGCTCTTTAGCGCCCGTTCCAATGGCCCACGTGCCCGTTTTCAAAGGCCAGGTTGAGCCTAGGGTGAGGAAGTGGCCTGGCTGCCTGCACTGACTGCTTTGCAGGATCATCCTCGAAGTACAGGCACTGCCGCACAAAATCAAGGAAAAGAATCTGCGCCTGGCTGGCGGCCGCGGGCAATGCCTCCAGATTGGCGTCGCTGCAGAGACCTTGGACCAGCTGCTCGCAAATCCTTGTATTGGTGTCCACATCGAACAGTGGTACGCCAAAACTAACGTCCAGTAGGGTCCACTCCTCAGTGGCGTCCTCCTCTTCCTCCACCGATGGAGAAATCTCCTCCAGTGCCATCGGTATCTCCACCGAACTCTGCGACACTAGATCCGATCGACTGCTGCACTTGGCCAGTTCGCTGGCCAGCACTTGACTGCAATCTGGAGAGGTAAACTCATTCGCGGGACCATGTTCCGGCGTGGTTGCAAAGTGGTTCTCATCGGGGCTCTTGAGTTGAAAGCTTGTCACCTCGTTACTTGGCACATGGTTCGGTTTGCTGGGCGCTGCGACCGATGAGCGTTTCTGGCGCTGAGCCGGCTTCAATCGCACCTGCAGCTCATAATCTTCGCAGCCGAGATCCGGCACTCCAGTGTTCAGGAATGTAATGTAGCCGCATTGCTGGCGCAGGTCCAAAAGGTTGGCCAGTTTGCGCACGGCTCGATGGGCGGCCCACTTGACATGGCGTGTGTCCGCCGGTTGGAACGGAAAGGACTCATAGTGAAGCATGCCGGCTGTGCGGATTCCATAGCCCTGGAGCAGCACACAACCGTTCTTGAGCTGATCGTTCAGGTTGCGGAAATTCTCAGAGTTCAGCACGTACGAATCGGAGTGCAGGATGTTTACCAGCAGTTTGCCGTAGCCCAGGAATAATCGTGGCAAGGTTTTTAGAACAGTTCCCCGGCAGAGCAGCAAACTGGGCGGTCCATAGCCTTAGTATAGAGATTATTCAGTGAAATAACATGTGTAATAAAAAGTAACTTTAATAACCCATACCTGTGATATGATTGTAGAATAGCTTGCTCCACATGGGTGCCACATCGGAGCTACGTAGGAATTGGCCAAAGTAGGGAATGCTAAATGTGTTACTTAGTGCCGCCGTCAACGGCGAGGCGGCTATGATAAACTTGTACTTCTTCTCCAGAACGCGATCTCTTGTCTGCCTGTCCAAACCCTCCAGACACTCAAGTCGCAGCAGATCCAGACCACCCGGCAGCAAATGCCGAAGTGAGCAAATGGTGGAACGTAGAATTACGGCATGTGCAAAATAGCGCGAGACATCGCCCTCGCCCTCTGCGTCCAGGAGCGAAACCTGCTCCAGCTCGGCCAGAAAACTGTCCAAGCTCTCCTCGCATAACTTGCCCACCTCGAACATGGTCACCGCGTGGTTTTTCAAGCCCGGCGAAAGGTTTCCCATCATCAGGAAGGCGGTGAGCGTGGAGTCGAAGAGGAAGCCCACCCTCTTACCACTTTTTGGCAGAGGAGCTGCTGAGATCGCAGCCGCAGGAGCAGGCTGCTTTGTGGTAGTCAAATCCTCTGTTTCCAGCTCGGAGCTCAACTCCTGTTCATCGCTGTTGTTCATCCTTTCCGGGGGTGTGGTGTTCAGATTGGCAAAGCTAAAGTCACTGGTGTTGCCATCCGAGGATAGATAGCCTATCGAACTGCTGTCCTTATCCTTGTCCTTGGGCGTCTTTGGAGACTTGGGGCTCTGGTCAAATTCGAAGCTGTTACTAGCATGTAGATTGTAATTCAGCGGCGTGATCTGTGGCGTTTCGGGCATCTGCTCCTGGTTATATCCCTCCCAGCTGCTATGATTTGGCTGATTCAGATAGTCTTGCTTGCGGTGGGCAAAACCCAGCCGGCAGATGAAGGAAATGGCCTGCTTAACGCTGTCCAGTTCTAGTTGCAGCATATGCGCCAGCTCGGAAATGGTCATGTGTTCATCCGCACTGACAAAAATCTTGTACAGCAGATTCTCGAAGTAATCCCCACTCACGCGGTTCATCACAAAGTTGCGCAACGGTGGAATAGATATCCTATCCTCCCCGCTGATGGGCACATCCAAATAGATCAGTCCCTTCCTGTACAGACTGTGCACCACCTCGTGGTCGCATTTGCCAGCCGGTTGGGCTCCAAAATCGATGAGGTCATCTAACAGGCCCCTCTCGGAGGGCGTTAGATACCGGATGTCCGCTTCCAGGACATAGCCAATGTCCAATCGCCACCAGGGCTCGATGTGTATGCGCACGGGAAAGCGTGGCAGGAAGTCCAACGGATTGGGCCGCGAACCGAAGATCAAAGAGCGTGGCGTGTGGGTTTTCAGATCGCTGATCAGGGCCAGGTACTCGTTGCGGCCAATTCCCAGAACGCGCAGGCAGTCGGCTGCCGTAAAGTTGGGCAATGTGTCATAGCTTTTATCGCTCCGGAGGAGCTGACCCAATACATCCAGATAATAGTTAAAGGGCGTGACCCTCAAGCCCTTGGTGACGATATCGGCCAGGTGATAGGGAAATGCACCCAAGCCATTGATGCTTTTCTGGACCAACAGCTCGTAGTATCGTTGCTCCCGGCGGAACACCTTGGCGGCCAGGTTGCCCCGAAATCTTAGCTGGTTCTTCAAACTGTAGTTAAAGACAAATTTCTCGTAATCCCTCTGATTGTTGTGCAGAACGGATCGCAGGTGCACGGGTAATAATTCCCAGGTGACATTCCCACGCACGCACTGCTGCAATTGGTTCTGGCAATTGTTCCCGGGCGCGGATGCACTGCCTCCGCCGCTGGCCAAATCCTCTTGCTCCGTCATCACGGTACTCGGATTAGGTCCTCCTGCTGGGCGGATTAACTCATTTCAAGGCCTCCGGCTGCGGAATCCAGTATTTTTCTCCTGCGTTTTATTTTTCTTTTTTTCTTGTTATCGGATAACGATAGGTCCGATAGCAGGAGGTTATTTGTTTTTTAAGTTGACAGCTGATAAAAACCGCGGGCGTTTTGCAGTACTGGTCGCCGTTAAACTATCGATATATGGGTATCAAGTCATCGATGTATAAATAAAAAATGTAACAAAAAAGTGTTTCTGTTTAAATAGTTTTTTTTTGACCGTTGAACGCAAGTCATTAATAAAAATTAGAAACCTAAATGTTTTCTGATTTTTATCGTATTTTATAAACGTTATTTACAAACTATTGATTGATTTTCGAAGTATATCACACATCCTGGAACTCTTACTTGGGGACATATAGTTGGGAGCCATCATGGTTATGTCTTCAATTCATAACTCGTTCAATATTTCGGATTTCAATATGCCGACTAAACTGTCAATAGTCCAGTACTCATAAATCAAAAAAATAACATGTTGTATGCCTTTCCTATGAGTGTCAACCAATCGAAAAACTTGATTAAATCATTTTTCTCTATTACTTTGAATAATCATTACTTGTACAGTAAACGGGAATACTAGATTCGTCGGAAAGTATATAAGAGGTAGAAGGTGTAGTATATATATTTTTGATTAGGATCACTAAACGAGTCCGATATAGCCATGTTCGTCTGTCCGTCCGTATGAACGGCGAGATCTCGGAAAGTATAAAAGCTAGAAAGTTCGGATTTGGCATGTAGATTCTTGAGCTTCTTTCGGAGCTCGAGTTGATTTCAGCAGGTTGGCACGCCCAAAACCTGACTACATTTTAAAATAATTTAAAAACATTTAAATGTTATTCAAATCGGACAAATTATTAAAAAGTTATAAGCAAATAAAGTGTGCACTCCCCTTAGCTGAGTAACGGGCATTTAATAATCGATGGCATCGAATACCGTTCTTTCTTTTTTTTTTATTATTTATTTGAAACCGGACACCAATTATAGTGCTATCAAGAGCTTTAATTTAAACCTATGTCGAAATTAAAGTTATTTTAACAGATTTTTTTCTTTATGAATTCATTTGAAAGTATAGAATATTTAATTCAATAACTAAACGACGGCTAACGATCGTTCACCAAAAATTTTTTTAGAAGGTAGGCAACGCGATATTCTGATATTTTCCAGTATTTACTTAGTTGATTTTGTCGATGTGAGTACTAAGGTTAGTTATTTCCGTTATCCATCTGATCACGCGATCCAGGTTCGAAACTTCAATCGCGGTCAAATTTTTTTGGGAAGGCGCATGGAGGAATAAGAAAATATCAAAATATTAAATCGAATATGAATTCCGTCAACCTCTATATAATCCTCAAAGTAAGTGAAATCCTAGAAAAATAATATGTAAAAGAAGCATTTATAATCATAGTACTCAGGTGAAAAACACACACAAAAATAGTACTCCTTGTAGTCAGAATGAGATATTCAGAGTTCACTCAAACAGGCCTTGCTGTCAAAATATGCTTACAAATTGTTTAATTAACAACGGGTTGCGCTAAAATATTGTTGAAGAACACAAGAAATGCATTGCAACTAATGTTTGGGATATTTAAAGTGCTGCTTTATGAGGAAATTAATTAAAATATGCCGAGTCGCCATTAATAACGGAGTTCTTGTCTGTACTATGAAGACTTTGAAGCATGTTTATTATTTTTAATATTTCTTTGTCTAAACTTGGCCGCCGAGTTTAGCTACGTTTTAGCCAAAAGTGCAACCTTCAGTTCTTTCAAAATTACAACCGCAATCTATCGATAGACGCGGCGATACTTTCTTGAGCGCTGCCCAACACTGCCTAGAGCGCATTTCGCACACTGGCCGCTGATGATTTTCAATATTGCTTTACCACTGCGTTTTTGAAAAACACTTGCGATCTTAAGTCAAAATTGCCAAATCGTAGTGATGAATCGTTGAGTTATATATGATTGATATCGTATCGTAGGGAAGCGGGCGTTTAAAGCTCTATGCGCGGCCAGCAGAGGCAGCGGCAGAGGCAAGACAGCGGCAGAGCAGCGGCAACTTGAGAATTTAAGGTCACAGCGACACAAAAAAGGGACATCAACATCGATTTTTTTGCACCCTTTTTTTTTGCGCGTGGGGCACAATACCATTCGACAAACAAAGAACGGGGCGGCGGCGGTGGGGGCGTGAAGTACGGAGATTTCAGCGAAGATGAGCGGAGGCGGCGGCGGCGAGGAGGAGCAGCATCTGCCAGGTGTTTCCAGGTGAATGGCTTGTTCTACTTGAATTGTGGCATTCTAATGATCCTTTTCTTTCCAACAGTGCATCGGGATCTGCAGCTGGAACGGCGGGCGGTCGTGCCACGCCCGAAATGAAGCGTTCGGCGGTGCGCAGCCTGATCCAGCGATACTTCCACCAACTGCAATCTGGCTGCGGGAACGCCCACTGCAGCAATGCCAATTGCGCCTCCAGCGGCAAGGTGGCGCCCATGACGCCCAACGAGGTGGCCGCCCGGGCCCTGCAGCTCTTCTCACAGGATGCACAGCTCTGCGAGCCATCCACATCGGCGGCCAGCAGGTGGGAATCCTTCACCCACAAGTGGGTTGTGCCAAGTCGAAATCAACCAGTAGTTTTGGTTAGGTAGTTGCAGAAGAAGACATTAGGATTCATAAAATAAGATGGATGATGTATAGTGTCCACTGATTTGGCGAAAAGTAAAGATGTCAGCTAGTTCAAAGTAGTTTCTTGTATTGTAACCTTTTAATTTTGTACAATTATAACAATTATGCACTTATTTGTAACCCTTAATGGTTGACTATCAATGCTTACACTGTGCTAACTGGATTGCATATAATATGTACAAAGATTAATATGCAATCTGCTTAAGACTTGGCTCTATTGACTTGTTACAACCCACTGAGCCCTGATAGATCCACTAACCCTCCTTTCAGTCCTCAGGACGTGGACATGCTGTCACCCAACGACAGCAGTAGCAGCAGCAGCGGCAGCTCGACGAGCACCATTACCTCCGCCAGCACCACCACCACAACCAGCAGACAGTCGCAGAGTACGCCAGCTGCCGTTGTAGTGGCGGTTGCCAGCTCAAATCCGGACCAGAGTACGCCGCAGCTGGACCTCGGCGGCGTTGAGCCCTCCTCCGGCGACTCGGAACCATGTACACCCACCCTACCGCCGGTTCAGAGCCTGGATGCCAACGGCCTGATGGCTCTTTACGAGCAGTGCAGGGCGGCGGACAGTTACGACAGGATTTGCCATGCCATCGGCGATGTATTCTCCAGTGTGGATAGACTGAGCAAGAGCTTCATACGCAGCGCAGAACCAGCAGCTTCCAGTAGTCTCCAGGAGCTGCTGGCCAATCCACCGGAGGCTTTAAACAAGGAGCAACTACGAACCTTAGAGGGTGAACACGACAAAGACGAGGACAGTACACAGCAGGTGGAAGAAGGGGAGGCAACCGACGACGGAGAAGCAATCGCTTGTGCAGGACCAGAAGCTGAAACGGAGGCGGAGCCCGAAGAAGAGGACGAAGACGTGCCGATGGCCCAACCCACAGAGACAACTGCGGAGGACGATCCGCCCCAAAGCAGCGACACGCAAGTGGATTTACCTGGATTGCGCCGTGTGCAGCGTCTCCTATTCGGCTGCCAAACGCGTGCCATCACGGACAAGCTGACCAGCAGCGTTATCCAACTGGCGGAATGGGTGCACTACATGCGCCCCGATTGGGAGAAGGTCATCCATTGCCTGGTCATCTGCTTCGACCTGGCCACCAATAGTGAGTTCTTAAATGTAAGTCTGTATAGGTTTTTTGATTTACAAATTATCTTTTCCGTAGCCAACAACAGTGTGGTAGATATGGACTATCTGGACAGGGTACTCCCGAAGCTGTGTCATGCGGCAGCGTCCATGCCAGTGCCGGCACAGGCGCGTCTGGCCAGGATCTGGGCGGCCCATTGTTCGGATCAGCTGCAGGCGTTGGTGGCCGCCTGCCAACAGCAGATTACGTTACAGGTGCTCCTGGACGAAGAATCCATGCGTGAGAATGGGTCCATTATCAGCGTGACCAAAGTTTTGAAGGTAATTCAAATATACTTTTAAAAGCTTGGAATTGTGCTGAACAAATTGGTCGTTTTCCCTTCACAGATCGTTTTTTACGCCAACATCTTGGCTAGCGAACTGGAGCGACCCTCTTGCCGGGTGCCGCTGGAGGATCGGACGGAAACGGCGGCCACCTCGGCATCCGGCAGTGGAATAGTGGAGGACGACCTGTTCGCCTACAACTCAGTGCTCCAGCCGCACATGCCGAAGTTCGCAGAGGATCAGTTGGAAAAGGCGCTGCAGGTGTCGGCCATAGATTGCCGCAGACCATTGGTGCCACTGGAGGAATTCTACAACGAGGCGCTTAGTGAGAACATCCAGATGCACCACGACTACCTCTCCTACAAGACTCTGGCCATGGAGAGCGAGATAGGCTCCGGACAAACAAACTATTTTTCGTTCATGCTGTACGCCTTCATCCTCACGCCGGCAACGAAAGTAGATGCTTTGTACTACGACAGCCGGATGAGGATGTACAGCGAACGATACACCTCGCTCTACTCAATGCTCAACAACTTCGGCCAGGAAGGGCAGGACGGCACTCCCCGCCCGGATCTTAAGCTGACGGTGCGCAGGGACCAACTCATCAACGATGCGCTCATCGGGGTGTGTAATTATATATTATTATTAGTTCATTTATACCTAACATAATCATCGGTGTTTTAGCTGGAACTGGTGGCCATGAGCAATCCCAAGGATCTCAAGAAGCAACTGGTGGTGGAGTTCGTCGGAGAACAGGGCATCGACGAAGGTGGCGTATCCAAAGAGTTCTTCCAGCTGATTGTGGAGGAGATTTTCAATCCGGCTTTTGGAATGTTTATACAGCAGGAGGAAACCAACAATATGTGGTAAGGATTGTATTGGGTTTATAGTACATCGAATAGAACTGCTAATTAAACGTTATTCCCACTTCCAGGTTCAATGCCACACCCTTTGAGAACGGAGCTCAGTTCACTCTGATAGGAATAATTATCGGCCTGGCGATATATAACAACGTGATCCTGGCCGTTAACTTCCCCATGGTGGTCTACCGCAAGCTAATGGGCTATTGCGGCACCTTTGCGGATCTCAACGACTGGAGTCCGGCGCTGTACAAAAGTCTGAAGTCCATGGTGGACTACCAGGGCCAGGACATGGAGGAGGTGTTCGACCAGACCTTCAAGATCAGCTACAGCAACGTGTTCGGCGAATTGGTGGAGCACGAACTGGTGCCGAATGGCAAGGAGGTGCTGGTTGGGCAGCACAATAAGCAGCTGTTTGTTAACCTGTACAGTGACTTCCTCCTGAATACGAATATTCAGCAGCAGTTCAATGCCTTCCGCAAGGGCTTCGAAATGGTCACGGATGAATCGCCCTTGAAGCTGCTCTTCCGACCCGAGGAGATCGAGATGCTGGTCTGCGGTAGTCGGGTAAGTAGCAGCATTTAGTTGTTGCAAGACTGGTCTTGAATGCTTAAAATCGTTTGCAGGAGTTCGACTTCGTGGAACTTGAGAACTCAACGGAGTACGAGGGCGGCTACACGGACGAGACTCAAATCATCCAGGATTTCTGGAGCATTGTGCATGCGATGCCCAACGAATCAAAACGGAAGCTGCTCGAATTCACGACGGGATCGGCGCGTGTTCCGGTGGGCGGGCTGAAGTGCCTGCGGCTGCTGATCACGCGACACGGTCCGGATAGCGACCGGCTGCCTACCTCGCACACCTGCTTCAACGTCCTCCTACTGCCCGAGTACAGTAGCCGCGAGAAGTTGGAGGAGCGCCTCATGAAGGCCATTAACTACTCGAAGGGTTTCGGCATGCTGTAGGCCGGCCGGGCGTTCTCTCACCAAGTCCAAGTCCAAACTCCAAGTCCAAGTCTGTCATCGGAACTGACCCACCTCTCTGGGATGAAGAAGGATAAGATTTTTATGGGTTTGAGTTCGTTTTGGGTTCTGCCATTTATTTTTGATACGACCTGTTCAATGAGACAATATACATGCGAAATATATCTGCTCAATTTATGGTGCGATGGCTAGCGAGCAGACCGAACGGACACGCGATTTTGTTTTCCTTTGTCGCCCAGTTAAATGTAAATACACACCACATACCGCATTATGTGCATTCACCTTTGTAACACCCACATTTAAATCGGAACGCGCTGAATATTTTCCTAAATAAATTTAATGTTGTGCGCCGAAAGAATTGCGATTAAGTTATTATGGGGAGTTTGGCTATATTCTTGATTGGATTGGTTCATGTAAGTTTTGAATAATGAACGAAAATGGATCCCACTGTTTGATCGAAATTTAATTTGTGTTTTGTTGTGGAACAATATACAATTATAGGAACAATACATATAAAAGTTGAAACAAATTAATTTTTTTTTAAAATCCTTTGGTTATAACATTTTTTTTTAATTCTGAAAAGATTTTTTATTTTTAAAATTTTTATACGCAGTATCTCTGTTCTCCAAAAATATAAATTATGCACATTATGTACATCCTTAATTTAGATTTTATAGATAATTTTAGATTTTTTTAAATATTTCAATTTCACTTTGTTTTAAGTTTTCAAAATTTGACGAGAAAGTTGAAATTCCTTAATTTTTTACAATTTCTCTAATGGAAAACCGCGCCTAAACAATAAATTTTAAATGGAAGTAATTTTACTTTTTTTTTTTTTTTAATCTTTTTAATTTCGGTTTAAAGCCATTTTATGCGGATATTTTTTTGGATTTGTTATTGCAATAAAACCGTTTTTTAGTTTTAATATCGGCTCCTATATGTTGTTAAATAAAATTTTTTGTAACCCTTTTTTACTGACGCTTACGTACGAGCTACGTCTTTTTCTGTTTTTTTTCGATGTCTTTTTCACCTACTTTGTTATATATGTATATATTTTTTAACGGCCAAGTTTAGGAAATGTAATACTCAAATTTAAACCTATTGAACACGTATGTATGTGACTTAAAGACTAAAGTTACTAACAATGGAACTTTGGTTCTGAAATGTATAGTTTTTATACATTTATAAAAATTCGAAATGACAATCCGCCAACCAATTCAAATAGAAAATAAAAATTCAACGCGTTTTTCCCAGAGCAGTTCTATTAACACCAATTCTTAACTTTCTGTTAAAAGACAAGGAGAGCAAATTGAAAATCAGCTGGTGTGACCATCCACCAACCGCAGCGAAATGTAGAAAATAAAAAACCGAAAAGATTTATTTTTATTCAAAATTATCGATATATAAATTTAGATATTTTTTTCCCAACGGCTAAGCAGTCACACATGTATTTATTTTTGTTATTCGCGATTCTGATTTTCAGCGGGCGGGACTCCCACTTTTTGAGGAGCCGAGTGTGTTTTGATTTTCCTAACCCTTTTTTGAAAAATGCAACTAGTGTAACGTAAAGTTCCCGCTATAAAATATCAGCCACCGTTAACGAGTGCTTGTTCTGTGTGTGAGTGAGAGAGAACGAAAATTCTAGCATCATGAAGGTGCAACAACAAAGCGCCTTGTTTTTGTTGCTGTTGGCTGTGACGTCGCAAGGAGCAGCCAGCGCAGACGCCGACGTCGCTGCAGCGCCGGAGTCCAATTGGAATGGTTTGTTTCTAAATTCTAACTAGAATGAGTTCATCAGCGGGGATAGAATTATAAACTGCAGTCATTTGAGCGGCTTCAAGTGCATCCCACTCAAGTAGACCCCCATTACACAGAAAGAAAAATGCACAATAAATCAAAAGGACATAACATGTCATTCTTCAATCCAAGAACTTTTAATGTTTATTATTAAAGAACGTATTCCAGCATTTGAATTTAGTATTACAATTTCGAAAGTAATTAGGGGAGTGTAGGGTATAGTGACGAAAGATTCGTTTTATGAATGTCATTTGTTCCCAAAATTAACTTTTTTCAAAAGTTTAAAAGCAGAAAGTTGCTGACATCTATTGAATATATTTCTGTAAAAGTTCGATGGTAAAATTAACTACTACAGCTCTTGGCGTTAACCAATATTTAAAAGTTATAGTTGTTGACAAACTGATAAATGCACACTTAAACTCTATACAGAAGTGAAAATTATTTATTTCTTCTGCAAGAAAATTTAAAATGTACAATAATTGAACAAAATAAATTGTTCAGTTTCTATTTCACAAAAATCAACAAAAAATAATTGTTTTTTTTCATGTTATTGTAGAAAAGATACAAATAATAAATAACGAAATAATGCCAGCAAATCCCAAAAAAAATTAAATCCTTATACCCTGCAAAAGTTTGTCACGATAGCATACAAGGTACTGACGGAAAACTAATGGTGCCACTTTCATAAGGCGCAAAAGAAAAATAAAACATAGTAACAAGAACTGTTGTTTAAGATCTAATTAATACCTGCATATATTAGTCTGATCTGGTTTTCCCCAAAGTTTTGATCTGGTTCTGCTGAAACCCTTACAAATTGAATAGGTTTTTTATTGTTGGTCGATCTTTTTAGTCAAAATTATATCACAAACAAATTACGAGAGTTCTTAATATTCGACAACAATTATGAGATTTGACGAGTTCGTCCCCCAATATATTTAAAACAAAGAATATTTTTCCAACACATTTTGATTTCGAAATTTTCCCCTGTGTATATGTACCACATATCTCTGAGAATTTGTTTATGATCCGTACACCATCTCACGTCCCCTTACCTTTAAAAATTGCTTTTGTTTTTATTCCGCTTTGATGTTGCGGTCGTTACTCTGGAATTGCATGGAAACGGAGCAGATGCAGATGCAAGTGTTCGTATTCAGATGCATCTGCTTTCAAGATGGAAGATACAGACGGTTCTGGAATAGCAAATTCTTTTACATATTTATTAACTAAACTGGCTCGACTTGTTAGCTAATATTCATATGACCGGTTGGTGGTCGACATAAAATAATGACGCGGCAAAACAATACATATTTAAGCTTTTGTTATTCTAATTTGATCCAATTATCATCATTTATTTTTGGCCCCATAAAATATATCATTACTGACATTTAGTATAGCTCTAGTGATAATCGAAAATCTTAGTTTATTTTCTAAATTTGATGTTCATGTTCTACTGTTACCGATAATTACCCTCTATAAATCTTTGCTCATTCACCTCATTCACAGACAAAATCAAAGTGTTCACTGTGGCCACTGAACCCACCGATGGATATCTCCGGTATCTCCGATCTTCACGCGTCTACGACATTGAGGTGAGACCAATATTGAATGTAAACCCTCATTAATTAGAACAATCTTAAATCGTGATATGAAGTTTGAATTCACACTAGATATCTAAAGTCTGAAATGTGGTTTGCAAAGAACCGTTAGTTAAATATATACTTCGTTAGCGGTAGAATATAAAATATTGATAAATTCATCAAGTCAATTTTAGAAACAGTATATCAAACAAACATCGACATTTAATACATAAAATGCATTTGTTGTGATGTTTAAAGATGTGTCATCAATCCTAATAGATCAGAGTCCCAGAGTTCTTAAAATAAAAATAAAAATTCAGCACATTAAATACAGTTATGATCTCCCCCGACATAATTTGCACACTTTTATGGTTTCGAGAACATCTGCCTCCAACTTTGGTACATATATGCAAATCTGTGTTGATTGTTATTGATGAATTTCTAATTTGACGACTCTCAGACAATCGAATCTTCTCAAAAACTAGTATATAAATAAGAACATAAAATGTATGACAGATAAGAACTGAGAAGGAATATGACTCCCAAGACTTGTCCGGTGGCTTGGCACACTTAGGCAACTTTGTATTATTAAAATGTCTGGTTAGTACATAGCAGCTACATATATATCTGTAGATGGTTGGCCCTACCCAAACATCCGGCGGTGGCGTCCGATTTTGTGATGTGGAACACCGAGATTGGCTGGACTTGTGGGGCACCGACAACATATAGGCAACATATAGTGCACACATGTTGGAATCACGCAGTTCAGACAGATTCGGTGCAGTTGCCGGGGGTAATTAGCACAATACATTACGACTTAGTTCCCGGTCTATTGATAGCTTAGAACTTTCTATACAAAGTTGATTCGAGATTCTGCTTATCATGTGACACTTTTTGTGTTGCCGTTCCAAAATGGATTTCTTATTCAAAAACCCGACATGAAAATGTGCTGATAAGCTGGTTTACCCGGCTTTTTTATAAGTTGAAGCTGATCTCTCCCCTTTTTTTTTGAATTTCTTTTTTGTATATAGAGAACTGTGAGACCCAAGTTATATGATCTCGTAGTAATTGCTAAATATATAAGTTTTGGGGTTGGGTTATTGTCTTTTATATATGAGTCAAATTTGATTCATATATTTTTTGATACCTTTTAATAGTCGCTAAAAATGAGAAGTAATTTGTTTCTGAATTTTGCAGTGATAATATCACTATTTTTATTATAACTGGTAAGCAGCGGACATTTTTGATATTTATATTTGTAGACTTAACTTATAACTAATAGATCTACTTATCACCCAGCAACCGCTAGAAAATGAGATTCATAACCACTTCCTATGATATTTTATTTAATGGTTTTTGATAATCCAGTTTTCCATCAAGAGTTAGCATATCTACTAATATTAGTATAATATTTTAATCTCCAAAGGTGACTACTCTGGGACTGGGAGAGGAATGGAAAGGAGGGGATATGCAAAGACCCGGAGGCGGTTTCAAGCTTAATCTTCTCCGCAAAGCCATTGCGCCCTATAAAAATGATCCTGAAATAATAATCCTATTTACGGACAGGTTTGTGTTTGATGGTATCACAAAGAAAATGTTTTTAATCCATTCTACTTTTTAGTTACGATGTGATCATCACGAGCACGCTGGATGACATTTATGAAAAGTTCCAGGAGTCGGGAGCCAAGCTGCTCGTCTCAGCCGAGAAATACTGCTGGCCCGATCAAAGTCTGGCCAATGATTATCCCGAAGTGGAGGGCAGGGCCTCCAGGTTTCTTAACTCCGGTGCTTTTATTGGATATGCCCCACAAGTTTACGGGCTCCTGGAGGATCCCATTGAAGACTCTGCTGACGATCAGCTCTACTTTACCAAGATTTTCCTCGACGAGACCAA